GGGGCGGCCATCTTGGGGCGAGGAGCGCGGCTCCTGCCGCCATCTTTGTGCAGGGCAGGGCCGGGGTCCCTGAGGCGCCTTGCGCTGGCAGGACTTCCCGACTGGAATAGCCTGGATAACAGCGAAACATCAGCCTTACCTGGTGTTGGTAACAACACCCGAGGGCTCAGGTGCCTCTGGGGAATCCTCTCATCCCTGAATCACCCTGGCCTGGGCCACCAGGTGCGAACAACCCCCTGGAACAGAAGGTCAGCAAAATACGATCAGAATGTTTGGATGGGCAGCTGAAGTGGAGAAAACGCTACAATGCCTGACTTCTTTTTATTTTTTTTTAGCTCTTGACACACGCAAATTGGATACAATGACGGAGGGTTGTGTTAAAAACCTGTGAAAAACTTTGGGGAGACTTTCCCAGGATTGTAATTCTGAAACCCCAGCTCACTGGGGCATTTTGAAGGCTTTCCCATATAAAGGTGTTATGTTGATTTAAGGGGAGGGGGAAAAAAAAAAAGGCAAAAAAAGCGATCAGTGAAATATGAACAGATAGAAAGCAAAAAGAAAGGGCAGTAACTGAGAGTTGCTCAGGGGTGGGTTTTGCTGCAGGGCCCAGGGGCTGGCCAGGTCTTCCCCATCCAGCGCCAGGGGCACCGCAACCCACCGCCTGGGCTGGAGGGGCTTTTCCGAGCTTCAGATGTTACTTGTCAGTGAAGGGACGGGAGTTTTGAGCTGCGACAGCCAGCAAGTCTCATCTTTCAGGATGATGGATGAGGCCATTACAACATTTTAAGCCCTATAAATAGAGGTGTTTATAGGGAGGGGGATTACGGGACACGTCCGTACTGAAGTGCAGCTCTCAGAGCTGGAGTGGTGGTGGGGACAGCAGGCTTTTGTTGCTCTACTCTGATCTCTTGAACTTTCTTGTGGTCCATGTAGTGGCTCCTGGGCCACCTTCACCTCAACTTGGTGCAAAACTGGCTTGAGTGAGTGGTACCTCAGGATGACATTGTTCCAGTGATAAATTCCATCCCAGTAGCTGATACAAAGGCTTTAATTTCCAGTATACTTTAGGAAGTTCTGGATTGAAAGTTAGTTCATATTTCAGCAAGTTGTACAACATAAAATATTCATTCAGCGTGTATTTTATTTAGCTCTTGTTACACATTTAGTCATTATTACTTCACCACGCATAGATCTGTGTAAAAGCAGTGGGCTTGTTTGTCCCCAGCTGCCAGGCACACAAAGTGAAATTCCAGTTTTACTCCTACTGCAGTTACCATCTGGCTAACACCACACCTTGCACATTGGATTGGCTTTTTTACATGTAATTGTGTGGTCTCTTGGCACAACCATGGCTCCAAAACTGAAGCATGCTTTAAGATGTATTTGTGTGCAGGAATGTGAATTGTTCAAAAGCAAGTATCAAATGTTTTGCGTGCTACAGTTCTGTACTGTAAAATAGTTCCTTTCTGGGATGAGACCCCTTATTGCACATCTGCAAATTAAAATATGCAAATAAAATATAGTTCAACAGTAAATAACAAAAAAAAATAGTAAAAATAGCTGTATGTAGATACACTGGTAGCACAACCATGGCTCCAAAACTGAAGCATGCTTTAAGATGTATTTGTGTGCAGGAATGTGAATTGTTCAAAAGCAAGTATCAAATGTTTTGCGTGCTACAGTTCTGTACTGTAAAATAGTTCCTTTCTGGGATGAGACCCCTTATTGCACATCTGCAAATTAAAATATGCAAATAAAATATAGGTTCAACAGTAAATAACAAAAAAAAATAGTAAAAATAGCTGTATGTAGATACACTGGTAGAAAGATCAAGAGGAAAGGGAAACATTTCCTAAATACTTTAGTAATTTACTTCCTCCAAGGCTCTTGCCAACGTACCATCACCTGAATTTAAGTTTGGATGATAAAACACTTTTAACAAGTCTGGTATTTCTCGCCAGTTTCATTAGAGAAACGTTTTTCTTTGCAATCGTGTCTGCCTCGTTTCCAGGTGTGAGAACAAACTTCTTTACGTTTGGTGCAAACATCACTGCTTGTGGATTTGTAATCACTGGGTTAGAGTTTCCCCTTTGTTTACTGTTTGGAACCTGTGTGAGCCCATCTGATATTCAGTATTATTTTCCTCTGCATTTTGCTAGTAATGCTGTTACTATCATCATCATCGGATTTAGGGTTAATAAGCACTCCTGTCGAGAAGCTATGAGCCTGGCTCCAGCAGTAGGTTGCTGTAACATGAATAGTTTGAGAAAGTCTGAGTAGATGGCCTCCATATAATTTCAGGCACACCCTTGGAATGCATTAGGGTAGATGCAGATCAGCTAGAGTGGTACGAGCAGAACTTCCAAAATCTGACTTCAATCCCTTTGCTTGACAAACATGGTTTGCTGAAACCATGGGAGGTTTCATAATGGCTGATGTTTTGATGGTATCAGCTGCCCAGCAGAACTTAATTCATGTCATTTTATTCAGCCTATTTGAGGAAAAATGCCTGAACAATATATAGGGATTCCACTCACTACGTTTAGTTGCAAAGAAAACTAAATAACTGAAGAGCAGCAAGTATAAATGAGGGCCTTTAACAACCTGGGAGGAAGTTGCTGCTTTGATGACTGGTGACATAAAGAGAGTCTCAAATAATGTGTTTGAGTTTTATTTGAAATTTATGAAAACCAACAGGATTTTTTTTTTAATTATCACAAAAGTTTTGCAGAAAGCAATCATCAAACCAACTGACTAGCTTAAAATATTGTCAAACATTAAAAAATACTTTTAACAACAACATAATTTCATTTGCCACTTTCTTTTACAGGAGAGAGTCTTCCTTTCTCAGCTGTGTTAACACTGCAAAGCCAAGCTAGTTTACCTGGAGTGAGGAAGATATTGTTGTTGCTTCTCATTACAGACACATTTCATTAGACACACATTGCTCTAATTCAACATATAGCTAGCAACATACAGCTAACAGCATAAGGAAATTCTTTTAAATCACTCAAGCCATAAGCTCAAATCTTTGCACAGTCAAAGCAACCTATTATCATGCACCAAGTTGTCCACTGATTTTCATGTGGCTTATACTATGGCCTCATTTTTTGGTGAATCTTGAAACATGAGTTCAAAATAATTTAAAAAAACCCACCAACCGTTGGGCATCTAAATAATGTGAATCTAACTCATTCAGGAATTTAATCTTAAATTTACCATTACCTCAAAATAAATAGCCAAGGGTATTTTCAATGGGAAGGAAGGGGGAAGAGTTTTCTTACCAAACAGGTACCTGCAGCTCAGTCATGATGTATCTTACACCCTTCACCTGAAAGGGTTTGCAGACTGAATTACACTTGAAGTACTTTTAGTCATTATGGTTCTTTACACTAATCACTATCAGCACCTAATGGATTCACATCTAGAAGCAATTTAACTCTTCTGGCTACCTTACAGGAGAGGATTCCCCTGGCCACTCCAGCTGACATCATTAGGCAGCCTCAGCTGATGACTGCCAGTGTCACTGTGCACTAAGCAGGCTCCCCCCAGAATCAATCTCCAGGATCACAAACCCCTTGACAAGCTCTTCACTGTGAGACTAACTCACAAGTGGGAACATATTGCTCTCCTCTGAGGATTAGATTTCTTAGTCTGCTTTTACTCCAACAGTCTCACCGTAACCTCACCCAGTAAGTGCCCAACGGCGACT